TATATGTTTAGAACGTGCTCTCGACTATTTTTTCCTGCTTTCTACGAGCAATTGTTTCAAGAATTCCTTTTAAGGATACTCCTTTTACGCGTTCGACGTTCGGTTCTCCTCTTTTTCTTTCTTTTAATTCAACGATTCGTAAGTCGCCTTCTACCTTCGCCAATGAAAGCTCAAGGTAAAGAATCCTTGTCGATCGTTCTTGAATCGTGTTGGGAGCTGTAAGAAACGATATCGTTGGCGCAAAAACCATGATTGCAGCCGCTTTCCGGATTCTCGGAAGCAAGACGAAGTTCCTCCTTTCCCATGTTTGCGGGCCGTCTTGATTAAAACGTGCTGGCGGTTTTACAATAATGTCCAGTTATTTTATGCATTGTACCATTACTCGCCAGCTCCGCGGGTATCGTTGCATCAGCGACAGCTGGCGGATACCGCATCGAAGCGGAAGTTATCGTGGCCCCTGATTTTTCATCGACTCGCTTTCGCAGCTGTCGTTACCTTCGACTTTTTCAAATCATCTCTTGCGTAACATTGTCGTGTAAACATCGAATTCTAGACAATTCTTTTCTACGAAGATTTCAACGCCATTATTTCTTCCAAGACTGTGTCACATCGTGCCACGTCGTGTCAATCAATCATATTCGCTCTTTTCTCGTTATCTCCTTTCCGAGGTGCTAAATGGGTGTACGAGCCATGTTCTCGTGATAATTGCAGTTCAATTATATCCCTCTCTGAAATTGGAGCGAGCCACGTCTGAAATTGGAGCGAGCCACGTCTGAAATTCCAGGTCGTCCCTATCCAGACAGCGCACTTTGTACTTTGATCCAATTAAGTTAATTCGTTTCGTCGATAGTCCTTTTTTCCTTTTTTACCCAATTCAAAGCCGGATACATTAGCCACTTACGTTCTTTATAGTACAGCCCACTGTTGGATCTTTCCTTTGTACTCTCTTCTGCTCGTTTCCTCTTGATCTAAACGTCGGTCGTGAGCATGCGTGATGCAATTACACAGTCTGCTTCATACGAAAAGGAACGCGCGATTGTCAACGGCTGAGAAACGAGCGGACAATCGGAGGTAATATAGGAATTTATCGTGCTCGTCTGTTAGCCTTCGTGTTTCTTTCAGATTCTTTGACCTAGACGATCGGGCACGTAATTTGGGCCCGTCACTTTCCTCTTGCCATTTTTAAAGAGCCCCTTTTGTCCACGCTCGAGTTTCTCGACGTTATCTGCATTTGGTTTCCAAGAAAAAAATGGCTGAATTTTCAAAAATAATTCTGACAATCTCTCCATCATCATCAAATATTTTTCGATATCTTTTTAATTGCAGCCTCGTCTCATTTTACCTTTCTGCCACCTTTAAATTTCTCAAAATACTTTTAACTAAAATCTCCTGTTAATTATCTAATTTTCCATTTTAACTTTGCAACATTTTCTTAATTCCCATTTCAAATTCTTCTGATTAATTTTGTAACTTATACTAGTCGACCAATTTTTCTTTACTTTTGTACCATTTTTTAACATTTTGAAATCTTGTCCAATCTGCTTTTATATTAACTAACTTCCCGTACCATTTTATCATTGTTAGAAGTTGTTGGGGAATTATTTGAATTACCATTTTGTTCTTTTGGAACTTCCATATGTCCAAGGTACTCGTCGAGAGATGAAAGATAAGGATAACAAATTCGTTACCCCTAAGGACCGAATCTTCGACCGATAAAGTATGGTAACGGTGCATCGTTCGGTCCAGGGATCATCTTAATCGCCCTTACCGTTAGAAAAATGAATTTTGCCTTTAATTAAATATCGATCGATAGCCGATGAGCGGAATTTCACGAATGGCCGTGTCGTTTTGTCGTTGACCCTGTTTCTACCTAAAAGCGTAGACACTTACGCGCGTGTGCGTACACGTGTGTGTAACTGTAAATTGTCGCGTTACCTTCTAACTGTAATACGGGCTATGGGTACTCTCATGGCGAAATTATACGAGGATCGAACGAATAGGACCATTTTTTCCTCTTCCACGCCAGGCGGCTACTTACCTTATTACCGTATCTCATGCGATAAATTTTCCCCAGGATTTCACTGCACATTTTCTCACATCTAGTAAATTGTATGATCGAACACGGCGAGACGAGTCTTCTTCTCGCCGGCACATTCCGATCTATGATTACCTTCGACGCCAAAATAGACCTTATGCAATGTTATGGCACTCTTCGTTTTCACCCCTCTGCCTTCCACTTTTCGATGCAAATTACTCACGTCTCTTACCTCGTATTGATATCTTATGGAACTATCTTTGCTACGACGAATTCCTTGAAAAATTATCTCAAAAGTATTTTACAAAATTATTTTTTCAATTATTTTCAGTTAAAGACTCGCTTAAAAAGAGTCTTCGATCATTTCAAGAATAATTCGCTGTAAATGCAAATGGATATCGGACGGGAAAGTTATATATGGGAATGTCTCGCGACAATGAGAGTTCGAAAATTTGGGAAACATATTCTGCAAGGATCTTTGTTTCCCCGGACTTCCCCGTTCGAGTGCATAGGCGTCGGAATCCCACGATATAGCCGATGATAGTTTACATAGAGCGCCACCGTATTATAATTTATGAATTATTCGCGGCGCTCGGTAACTCTTGTTTGTAAATCACCATCTGTAACGGGACTGCTTGTGCTACCATTGTTTCGGTACTGTTATACTGTTCACTCCCACGCGCCTGCAGTGCACCAGTTGCTGTATAAAATAATTTTATTAAAAAAGGAACGAAGGCTTCCACGGAGGGGACATATTACAAGAAAAGATCTTCACGGATAATTCTCTTCGTGCAGCTATGACGAAAGTTGTTAAGAAAATAATTACCACGTCGAGACACACGTCGATCGAAGAGGTTTTATGTAACGACAGGATTCATCACGGCGTGCACGGAATTATGGATGACGCTGTAATTCGACGATAACGATTCGTGAAATGTTGCTCGCAGCCTTACGCAATTAAACCATCGTTCTCAGCATCGATAATGATTACACCGACAATTCCATCCTTTTACGAGCACTTTCGATGTATGGTAATTCTACCAAGGGACCTCCATTTCTTTACCACTTTTCTTCTTTCAATATCCACAGCGTATTTTCTCTTTTTCTTTTTTCGGTTTCCTTTCAAGCCGGGCTGCAAGATCGATGAAACAACAACCTTTCAACGGCAATCATAAAGGCATCGATGCATACATACAGCATGGTCAAAAGATGGAACTTGGAATTTCTACGTTACGTCAGATGCAGATGCGCCTGGAAGGTCGACTCTCGCGCATCCATAATCCAAGGCTGTCTCTCTATTCCTTTTGTATGGTGTCATCGTTCAAACCGATCGTCGATCATAATCGAGGACTATTCCAGAAGCTCGCCGAGACGTTGAAGTATATCTTCAATGGTAATTTAGATGGATGCTCGAAGTCTTTTACGGCAACAAGGGGAAAGAGAGCCATGCGCGCACGTGACGAAGGATAATTAACCATAGGAACGCGAATCGGTTGGATGCACTCGACGTGCCGCAAGGTTGGCACGCTTAAACAGCTGGTGTCATCGTCTGGTCACGGGGATCCATGGATCACGCGAATCTCCAGGCTAATTAACCCTGACGCCATTCCAGGCGATGGTTGATCGCAATTAAACACACCAACGCTTTCTACGCGATTAGAAATCTCTCTCTCTGCCACTGTTTGACAGCTCTGCCTGTTAATTATTCGTTAATGTGCAAGAGCCATCGCTCAAGGAACAATTAGAGAAAATCATGTATGTTTAATTAAGAACTTATTCAAGGGAGACGGAGCAGATGAAACGTGTCAAGGTTCGATTCTTCAGAAGCTAGAACCTCTAGATTCATTCATGACCGACTGCCAACGTTCGATCCATCGATCATTGATTTCCAAGGAGAAATTTTCCAAGCAGCGAAATCTATTAAGACAAGGAGAGGAATACGGAAAAGAGGATCGAGGAAGTTTCATCGAAAACCACGACACGCTTCAAGGAAATCCAAGTCGTCCAAGTTAGACTCGTGAAGGAAGGACTTCCAATTGAAGAGTTCAACGAGACTCGTTTTCAAAAGCGTCGAAGCCAAACGGCGGGAGGGGAATAAAGAAGAAAAAAGGCGTTCCACTTAGGCTGCCAATCAAGGCGATTTGCATTCCAGGGACGTTTGCCGCGATCGCGAAACTGGCGTATCGTCGGCTGTGGTTAACCCTGAAAACTACACGCGAGAACGGAATGTGGTCGACGACGGAGACCCGCGCGAGTTCGTGCCGAGAGCGCGCAGGCATGCAGCGTACGTATCGAGCGGGAAACGCTTCATTTCGAACCTATCGTGATGCTAGAATCCTTGGAAGACTATTCCGTAGCTCTATCGTCGACCAATGCTTTCGATATTCCACCTTTCCACCATTCGTTAGCTTGCAAATCTCAGCAATTTCCTTTTTACAGCGAACTCAGAGTATGCTAGGATAATTGTTCCACTCGTTCTTCTTTTAACATTAGAACTACCCATTTTCGAGGTAGACCTAAATACAGCGAATACAGATGGTCGAACAAAACTTAATATTAATCGTGCCAAAAGCAACTGCACGATTCCAGTTACTGGAACAAGTTCCAGTGTTAACGAGGATTCAAATCTTGCTACCCGATCTTAGTTGCATTGTTAGTTTATTATTAATTAATCTTGCATGGCAATCGACACGTAACAATATACATAACATGTTCACAAGTAATTTAAGAGGATAGGATGGCCCTCCGATTATCCGTCTTTGGTAATCCTCGCGCGCCATTTTTCAAATAGATTCTTGTTCTCTTCCATTCTGGGCCCTAACATTCGATCCATGCAGAATGCTTATAATCTAATTCGCAAGATCTATCGCGATTCTTTCCAATCTACCCTGGAACCCCGGTGAAAAGATCCCAGGGCTGTGCAAATATTACTTCGCGTAGGGACCTTTTCCTAACCTCAAATTGCATAGTTAGCCAGATGGCCACAGATGGCCAGAAAGTTACAAAAGGGGGGGAAGAATGATAGTTGGAGGAAAAAAATACTTTAATTTTATTGAATATCCTTCTCACGAGGAAATAGCATTCCGCATGCTCGAGTCGGTGATCTTTAAAGGCTTACGTAAGAGGACGCGTGGTTATGCACGTAAGCGTGTCACGGGAGAAGTCTGCACGATCTCAGGCGACACGAAACTACCAGAAACGGAGGCGCGGAGACGCCATCTCGTTCGCCGTGCGATAAATATATTTTCATTACGTTACACGTCCGCGGAACGAGCGCAGACCACGATAAATAAATAATCGTTTTGCGCCTCGCGATAATCTCGCATAATTTTCGCCGGTTAACTCTTCGTTCAAGCTGCCATTTCCTTATCGTCGATGCGCTTGATCTTCACGGTGTTCGTCTCAATCTCGTCTGGTCTACTATGAGACGAAGAGTTAACGAGATAATCCCCGCGAGAAAACCGAAGAAACTGTAACTACTATCGATCGTTAACGATTCGTAACCCCCTTTACGGCGACGTGTAGTTATTTGCAGAGTAAAGCAGTGGTGTCTGTTGTTACGTAAAATATAATTATTATCGAGAGTTGAATTTAACAGAGGAGAGAATATAAGGGGCGACTTTGCTCTACAAATACTTATCACGGTACGGTCCTGTTCGATCGAAGGGTCGCAAGGTAATAATTATCGTCGTGTTGAGAACACTCCGGTTGGTGTGACTTTTCCTATACAATCATCTGGCACATGCGATTAAATAAATAAGTTCCAGTTCCACCTCTGTCCTGACTTGCAACTATCGAAGATCGTCGCGATCTATCATGCTTCTTGCTTCCTCTTTCCGACACCGTGCTGTTTTTCGTCACGGAACTCTTAACCTTGTCCTCGATCGCGATTAAGAGCCGAGGACGTCGCAGCCAGCCAGGTGTCGAACTCCCTTTCAGAGTTTCGTTTAATCCTTTCGCTGTGGAGACGAAATTTAGGAAATAACGTGATCCTTAATAGACAATATTCCAGTAAAATTCGAATATTCCACTTCCTCCGTGAGCTGTTTGAAGGACGAACGAATTACTCTCTCACGAAGTCAGGCTAATTTTTGTTAAGCTTAAAGAACAGGCGAGCGGGACTCTCGTTCCAGCCTGATAACCCTAATGACTAGGCGAATCTGCGAAAACTCGCGTGTCATCCCCATTAGGCTCTAGGTCCAGGAAGCTTCTGCTAAATTCAGCACAGCGAAGGAATTAAACGACAGCGTTAAAAGGGGCAATAAATTGCGATACGATTTGCTAAGTCGGGCACTCTATGGCGTTTGGCACTGATTCCCATGCTGGACCATTCGGGGTAGCGCTTGTGGCGCTCTCTGTCGAAATTTACAGGACAATTAGCGAATAGAACGGAGGCACTGCCGTGTACAGTTGACAGCTTCGACTAAGGGGAAATTCGCGACTTCGGCGTGGAAAATTCGATGACCTATTCGGCGAATCTCTTTCATTGCTATAGAACAATTGGTGGATCGTCTGTACGAAACGAAATTGATCTTCACGTTCCTTCTCTCTACTCTTCTGTACTTCTCGTTACGACTGATATAATGGCAAGGTGATTAGACACGATTTTCCTGCAACAATGACGTCATTGGAGGTGAAAAGAGGTCCATTCGAGGACAATCGGTTTATGAACAGTGAAAGGAATTTTCGTGCTGGCGCAAGACGGGGTTCAATTTGCTGGCCGATAAGTGTCAGTAGGTCAGCGTTTCATAAACTCCTTTGACCGCGAACGCGCTTACGAAAAGCGATTGTTTGGCATGCCTACGTGCGCGTTTCCGTTTGCCAAACACGCCACTGTCTCACTCGTCGAGATAACAGCAACGACATGGTCGATTACTTCCTCCTCGAACGAAGACTGACAGCTCGATTAGAATTTTGAAAAATTCGTTTTGGAGTAACCCAGGCATAATTATCTATGATATATCGATTTTGACGTGGCGAGTAACCCGTGAAATAATGAAACGTTTCAGTCGTTTTCTTTTTTCGAAATTATATTTCGAATTTTAATTAATGGCGTTTCAAAATAACACGTCCGTTCCCATTCTGGTTTTTCTGGGGAAAACTAGCTCTAGCCTCTGTAAATAGATCTGTGGAGCGCACGTGGGTTCCGATATCTACGAATTATACATTCAGCTACGTAATTCGGTCCATTGCACTCGGGATACCTTGAAACTACCACGCAATTCTTCTTTTTTCCCCTAATTTTTCCTCTTTTTCTTAGATCGTCACGGGTTACGTGTCACGAGAACGGAGAAACTCGTTACGAAATCGACAGACACTTTTCACAGAGCGATCAATGCGATCGATGAAGCGCAGTATAGAATGCGCTTCCACGGAATGTTACCAGCTCATTTGCATACGTCCGTTCGCCGATCATTAAGCACATTTATACACCATTCTTTTTCCCTCTTCACCTCGGGAAGCATTGCGTATCTGAGTCGAACGTTGTAATTCCCTCGACTTTTTCCTTCGATTCATAGACGATTAACATTTGCTATTAACTTCCATTTATTGCCGTTTAATCTATTCTCATACACTGTGAAAAATTTTACGATATTACCTAGGTTGCTCAATGTCTAAAAATATATTTCGAATTGCAATTAAAATGTGAAAAGTAACGGTTCTTTTCCAACCCCGATACATTCGGCTCTGGAAAGGTTAATAACGAGAAAATCGCGTCTAATCACGAGAGATCGCGAAACGTGAGTTAAGGAATTCGAAAAGGTCACCGATCCGCGATCCGATAAAAGCGAGTTCACCGATTTCCAAGGAAAACGCGGGATAAATGGAGCGGTAAACTCGCATTTCCATGGATGCAAATTGTTTCGTCGGCACGAACGAACGTCACGCGAGACAACCGGAGAAAAATCCGAATGACGAAACGCGGCTTGGCGCGCGTAACCGGCTGACATCGGCCGCGAATCGATAATAATCGAGCCTAATTGTATATGCATACGCGACGATAGGAATGGGTATTCGTGCATACGAGGTGTCTGTAACCAGTTTCGAAACAGGCATACTCGATGCCCGAGCAAACATGCGCGCGCCTCTGAATTGAGTCGTAAAAATATCAGGTTAATTCGGTCTGTTTTGCCCCTTTTTTCCTCTTTCCCGTCGACGTTGTTAATCGAGCTTCGAATTCCCCGACGTAATTTTAACGGCAAAACAGTTCATCCTAACTGGGAGATTTAATTCTCGTGTACACGATATCCTCGGTTTACATAACCTCCAAATTCTCGATGTTTACGATATTCGAAATTATTTCTTGCAAAGCTCGATTATTTCTTGAACCACTACTTTGACGCGGAGGAACTGAAGTCTCGCGGATTTTTCCCCGCCATTAAGCCTTGTTCTAATTACGATCATCAAGTTAATTGTCCGGAACGTATTGCAAGTAGCGGTGATACTGTTGCATGTTGCACGAAATTGCGCCTGACTCTTCCCAGATTCGGTTCTCATGAGCGCGATCCCGCACGCGATTACGCGAGTCGCGTCGAATTGTCAGGCTTGAGTAACCTCGGTGTCTCCGCTGTTATTAAACAGTCGTTCGTTATCGCGGTTGTTTTTTCCACGAGATAAAACGGAGCGTCGACGGAACGTGACACACGCCGTTTCCGCCATGTTTGCGTTGGCGTCGCGGCGGCCATCGCCACCGCGACGTTGCACGCGTAAAATGATAAAACAAGGTGAAATGAGAAATAAATGAGAAATAAAGAACGGCCTGCGAGACCATGCGATCGGATAATCACTGCGTATTACCCGGGAGAGTTTATAGATCGAAATAATTAGTAGGTGTTATCGAAATTGAGGTTAATATCGCAAGGCCGGTTCGCACTTAATCGCGCTTACGAAACCTGATTTGTCATGGAAACGATATTACAGCGGAATTTATCCACGTAGATTACCCGTTCGCGATGTTTGCTTGTCGCGAGATTCGCGTGATTTAATAGCGGAAAAAATCGAGGGTTTCTTCAGGACTCGTTCGATTCGAGTTTTTCCCTAGGGAAGAAAGCAAGGCGGCAAGATGCAAAGTTTTGTTTCTCGTCTCGTCTCGAAACCCTCGCTCTTTTGCCCTCCGTGGCGCGTAACTTTTTCTCACGCAATTAAGATTAACGTTCGCGTTCTCACGAAGCGAGTTGGTTGAAACTCATGCGCCGGGAATTCAAATCGTCGCGTTACCTTTTCTAGAGGAAAATTGCCTCGACCGTTGATACGATTCCTCGATAATCCCCGAAGTGTGGTGAACTTTTGGCCTCGCGTAAGAAAAAAGAAGAAGGAAAGAGAACAAAGTATTTTTATCCGATTTCGTCGAAGAATCGCGAAGCTATGAAAGTAGAAACGTTTGAGACAGTCGATCCTCCAATTGTCTGAAGCGAAAAATCTCATGATCGAATATATTTTAAGAAACGAACCGAGCAACATGGTTCGTGTGTAACTTTCTGCTAGAGGATCCACGAAAGCCTAGTTTCCACGAAACGATGGATCCTGGGCAAAGCTACTCGCTTATTTTCTCGGAGGAAATATTACGAGATTGCGTGGTTGTACTGTGTCTAACGAGCTCCAGCCATTAGAACGATCTTCTTGGTCGGGCGACAATAATTCGAGCTCGTCCAATTAGCCTGTTCATTTCTCGACAGGAAGATCGTTTTATTTCTTCGCGAGGTGTTACCTCATGGTACCTCTTTCGCCAACCACGATCGGAAACGCACGAGAAAAAGCATCGAACCTTTGACAACGCGAAGAGAAGCAACGATGATCGAAATGGCGAGAAGGAGAAAAGAATTTGACCGTAAAACGTAACTCCATTTGGATGCAGAAAAATGCTCGAAAAGCAATTTACTCGAGACGGATCTGCAGTCGAGGTTTTTTTCGGGGCGTCCCACGATCGAAGTCCTTAATTCGACAAAGGCGATCGACTCTCGAGATAAGACGATCGAGGTCACAGGTAGAAACCTGCGCGACGAAGATGAGGCCGGGTGTTCGTCGGCTTTTTGCCCGTCCGTAATTTTCCTACTCGGGCAAGGCTGTTCCGAGAAACGAAAGCCAACTGAACCAGTTGGACACGGCTCGACCACCCATCGCGATTTTCCACGCTGACGCCGCGATCCAACAGACCCTTTTCCCCTGTTCCTCCGCTCGAACAAGTGCCCCGATTAACGGTTCCCTTCGGACTCCGGAGAACGAGTCGAAATTTCGGCCTACAGAAACACTTTCATCTCGAAAATAATGGACAACAGCTGCCTCGCGTTGCTATTCAACGGAAGACAATCGGTCCAAGTCGGTACACACTGTCAGCTAGGTCTATGACTATGAACTGTCCAGTCCCGAACTAAACCGTGCACAATTCCATGACGGAACAAAGAGTCCTCGTTAGTCAAACCTTGGGTCAAGCATCGTCCGACTTGGTTTTTCGACCGACCAAGATTTACCAGGCTTAACCAGTGCAAGTTCCAACGATTTCCAGACTTGGACGAGTCGGTTGGCGAGCGATTACGACAAGAAACGATAACTCGAGAGGTCCTAACGAGGTCGAGGCCTGGGCAAAGGCTGCAGTTGCTGTTGATGGTGAGAATAACCGCTCCTGGAGTTGACTGGCAGTTGCGCTCTCTCCGGACTGTCGTCCAAATTCAAACCGGCTACCAACTGAGCTATTTCCCTGTCCTTCTTCTCTTCTTTGGGCAGCGCGTTGCCATTCTGTGCGCTGAAGCCCAGGGAGGCCAGACTTCCGTGACTTCTGCTACGATGCTCCGCCCGGATGCTGTAGGAGAACGCCCTCTCGTTCAGATGGCCCTTCCGCCGGTAGATCCCAGTGCCAAAACGCGACTCGTTCTCCGGACTGTCAGCTGCTCTGTTCATTTCGGCGGTAGTCAAGTCCGCGTGGGAGGCAGCCAGCCTCCTGGAAGCTCCCAAAGTCGAAGTATCCGCCTCAGGATGCTGCCTCCTGCCTCTGTTCCCAGCCGTCCCGTAAGTTCCGGCCGGATAAATGGCTGCAGCTGGCGGAGGTGGCACTACCGGAAGCGGGGCGTACACTGGAACGATGGGAGCGGCTGCTGGGATCGGTCTGAGCCCTTTGGGATGGTGGTGGGCCTTCCTGGGCAAGGTGGCAGCGGGGACTAACAAAACTGGCGCTGGTCTGGCTAAAGTTCCTGCCACTGATCGACTGCTAGGTGGCAGAGGATGAGGATGATAGTGTTGCTGCCTGACCGGATGACCCAGAGTATGATGTCCATGGCCATTGGTGTACATCCCTTGATGAAGCTGAGGATGCAGGTGTGCCTGCTGCAAGGGATCCTCGTGAGACGATCGGTTCTTCAGCTTCTTAAGCTTCTTGTTGGCTTTCCTGCGAACCGAGGAGGATGAAGACTCCTCGAGAAGCAGGGGTTGAGCGGGTGGAGGCGGTGGTGGAGGTGGAGGAGGTGGTGCGACCAGCTGACGAGGTCTGGATCCCTTGGTGCTTCTCAGAGTGCCCTGTTCTTGGTACAGACCGTCGACTTCCTCGCGACCCCTGGCCCAGACCTTGTGATTCTCGTCTCCATTGTAGAGACTCAGGTCATCCGTCGACGTGGTGTCCAAACGCGTTGCTTGAGGGCTGTCTAAGGTAGTGCTGGATCCACCGAGGGTATGGTAGAGGCTGTTGTTCGAAGGATGACCGCCGGTGACACCGTTCGTCGTCGTGGTCGCTGGGTCCAGACCCTTCGCATAGCTACTGTCCGCGTACGCATGAAAGCAACACCTGACCAGGGCGTTGGCCGCCATGTCGCGCTTGCATATGAACGCGTGACACTCGAGAACCTTGATACCGGTGGTTCGTCGTAGAACCGCGGCGAAAAGAGGCGGATGATTGGCGCTGGGCGTTCTGGCAAACGGCGAGTCCAGTGGCAGGAACCTCGTGTTCGAGGCGTCGCTGCTTCCGCCTTTGACGTGCCTGACCGCGGCACAATAGTGAAGCGCCTCGATGGGGAAGAACCTGGTGACCTTCTTGCGGTGCTCGTCGACATTCTCTAGTAGCAGGCCATTGCTCCAGACACTCAGCCAGGAGTCGAGTCCACGTGCTCCCAGAGCACCCTGTTCCGGGTACAGTTCCCTCAAGGGTTCCTGAACCCCTAGCAAACCTTCCTTACTGGCATGGGGCACGGAGCTTCCCAGGTAGAGGACTCTACAGCGACAATACGGCGTCGCCGTGTCCTGATTGGCACCCCTCATTTCTGCGAATGATCCGGAACGAGACTGGTCCGACTGATCTCTAGCGCCGAAAATCTTCTCAACTTCCCAGGTCGTCTCCCTCTTTCACCGCGAGGAATACTCAGAGAAGGAAGTCGAAGAGAGTATGCGCGATGGCAAAGTAGCTACCAACGATCCAGAACCGTCGAATCATCGAACACCGTCCGAGCATCGAGTCGATCGGGAATAGAAATTCGCAAGCACACACGCGACCATACAGTACACACGGAACAACGTTAGCGAGGACTCCACCCGGTAACACACTCCACTCGCGATTACGCAGTCACTTTCCAAAGACGCAGCCCGTCCGCGGTTGCAAAATACGCGTGCGTGGACGACGAGGAGAGCCGCTCTCGGCTATTTCGCAGCAGCTGTAGCCGCCGCTCGCTCGAGATCGCGTCAGGCCATTATGGCCGCCTTCTGACGGCTTCCCCACCAACTGCTACCTGCCCGTGGCTCCTCTTTCCTCTTCTACCTGGTCGTCCCTTTGCCCGCCGCCTCTTGGCCGTTCGTTTCTTTCTTCCAACACCGGCACTCTCTCGCCAACCTTTTTCAACCCCCCACCGGTCCTCCTCCACCACCTTCTCCTCCTTCTTTTCCTCCTCCTTCTCTTTCTGCCGGTCGCTCAGGCCAGGTCCTCCTGTGGTATGCGGTGTACACCAGTGGCGTCTACGTCCTCCTGGTCGCCCCTCACCTCCACGTGTACCGATCCACCGCGGCGGACAGGTTACACACTC